GTAGATTCAGAGCAAACAGCGACAATTTCACATCGAGGTGGTCAAGCCAGACAACCGCGTCAGGAGCGGCAGAGTGCATCGCTGCGATGTCTCCTTTGTATTCGTGGATCGGGAATTGTGTCGTTATACATTGTACGGTCTGTTCTGGATGATCACAGTCGCACACTGGAGAGTTTTTCACTTTTAATTTCTGCATCAGGTATCCGCGTCTGCTGTGGTTAGTGTAGTGGATGCGGTTTAGGGTGGACCATGAGCTATTGATGTCAGGTCATTAGACACAATGTCCGTTTGAAACTCTACCAGAATGGCCCACAGAAGGAGATAGCGCGCGCCTTATTTTGAGATCCCTTCAATTGACCTGCGATCCACACATCAGTCAACACAAAATGTTGAATTCCTCGGGCTGGATTTGTTCTCAATTTAGTGGAAAACAAATGTAATGTCAATGTTTGGTGCAATCCTTGGTGATTGTGCTGAGATCAACCCAGAGCTGCTTCTGTCATCCCTTGAATTCCCTCGTATCGACACTTTCCTACCGGCTTTCCAATAAAGATGTTCTCCATATGACACACTTTACATTTTTTTCTTTATTCTTAGAGCTATGATTGCCAGCAATTGTGAAGACCATCATCAGCTTGCTAGACTTGAAGGTATGGTTTAAGCATGGCTGGCTGCCTGGATTTCAAACCCAGGATCTCAGAATTCCTCTGACCGCTGAGCGTACCATACAAGTCAGCTCCCAATTTTCATCAAATCCATAACACAAAACTTTGAGAAACACAGCACCGCACTGTATACAATTCTGTTGATGGAGTGTTTTAGGTATCCCCAATGATGATGTGGAGATGTCTTTTTGGCGGTATAAACTATTGTCATGCATTTGTACGACGTCACAAAAACAAGACTGTGGAGCGAACAACAACTGCTAATGTGTCCAATTCGGTTTGCCTCTCGTCTTGCTAATGGCAAAGCAGCAGGGCACTGCAGGAGGTCTGGAAGCCACCAATTGTAGTCTAAGGAGCCGGTCATTTCCCTTTCTCCGCCTGGAGCACGGCCAGTAGTTCAATCCCCGCTGCTCATGAGAGCTGCATGCTCGTAAGAGGGTTTTGGCAAGCTGCCATTACATTAACCATTCTTCATTTCCCATTTACCTCGAGCATTTCTTTTTTTTTTACCCTAGGGGTTTTTCTTTTTACCTAGTCAGATTTTTGTAAAGTGATTTTATTATCATAGTTTTGACTTAATGGTTGACAGTTATTTAGAAACAAAAAAACAAAGGTAAAAGTGCAGGTCTGCAAATTGCTTTCTTGCATCACCGCCGACAGAAGCGTATCTTCCCCTCGAGGAGTGAGCTCAAGAGTAAATCCTTTTCATAAGTCACACGTCATTCCTGTAACACAGCCGCAAGAGGAGCATAAACACTGGTCTCGATCAAGTGTCGGCACTCGCTCATCACTATTTAATATCTACACAAGTGACCTTCCATGTACATCAACTCGCAAAGTTCATATACGCAGATGAGATAGCCCTTGCAGCGCAGAGCACAACCCTCGAGAACATTGCCAGTGCTCTGACAGTTGGCCTAACTTTATTGGAGGCATATTTCCATCCCTGGAGCCGGGCCGGATTGAGGTTCTTGTAGGCCCTAGGCACTTCTGTATCGTAGGCCTTCAGTGATAACCAATACCACGTGAGACTAGGCTCTAAGAAAAGCTGTCTCGAGTGTGGACCAATCAATTTCAAGGACAGTGCATACATTATCAAAGTTGTGTTTTTAATTTGCATTCCGACCGTAGGTATTGTGGTCAATGCAAACATGACTCCTTGTAAAAAAAGGTGTCAGTTTTGTTGCCAGATAAAAGGGTAAAAAAACAATTATCACAACTTGGATTATTGTCAGCTCTTGTGATCACAGAAGCATACATTCTGTCATCTATCTTATACGTCTACATAGTACAGCTTGACATTGCCCGAGCTCTCGGGAGCCTACAGTGCCCCCCAGAGAGGTTAGTATATCCAGATGGCGACCTGCTTATCAGCAATCTGTTGTGAACCCACTTACACTGCTTGTGTGGACAGAGGCGGAGAGATCTAATACATCTTGATTTGAGGCTTTCGTGAATGCAGGAATCCATACTCTTTGGTTCTTTCGGTAAAGTCACGTGGTTAGAAATAAAATAAAACAAATCACGACGTTTCGATCGCAACACAAGCGGTCGTCATCAGGCAAAGGAGTCAGCCTCTAAAGGCAAACTGTTCATATGAACAGTTTGCCTTTAGAGGCTGATTTTTTTTTTTCTAACTACGTGACTTTACCGAAAGAACCAACGAGTATGGATGTAATAAACTCGCACCGTGATAACCGTTACACAGTGACGGCATCTCGTGTCAGTTTATGTTTGATGCAAATTGGACTTAACATCATTATCAGCGGCGATCATTGAGTTAGCATGTCAACAATGCGGTTTCACCAACACGGTCATTATTCCATCAGTTTGCCCCCGCGTGTTGCACTCTGCATAGAATCGGGTGAGCCCTTTCGTGGCTCCCTAAGGTTGTTATGCACATGAGGCAGCTGGCGGTAATCAGCTTCTCATATCACCCGACTGGGTAAGATAAATGAAATGTCACTCCTGCAAAAAAGATATATCTCATTATCGCAATTCTTGGATTTTATCCGAAAACGCTAACCACGTGCCAACACCTTGATCTCCGAGTTTCATGGTTCAAACTGCTAAAAAATTTAGATGTAAAAAAAACTGCACATTTAAATGACCTAATATATTGTTTCATTACTACATAGAGAGTGGCGAATACACTAAACAATAAAATAATTACTGTCCATTGATCGCAGTGGTATTTAAGTAATGAAATGTGCTAATGGATGAACTGGATTTTCTCAAGTCAGTGTGTACGCCTAGTGGGCGGAACAGTATTAATATAACATGCTTGGATCACATTGGCTGTGAGAAATTTAAAAAAAAACGTGTATTTGTTGTTTGCGAGTCAGACCAACACACATGGCCACATCACCGACATTCCACCAAGCTTATCCAATGTCAGAAGCTGAGCAGGTTCTGAAGTGACAATGCCAGAATGAGTGACCAAGATATAAAATAAACAGGTGTTACAGGCTTGAGCTGGGCTACGTCGAGGGTAGTGCAGCAACACTCATCGTGATACTGCCACGTCCATGCTGTCCAACTCCACAAAACCCGCAACTGGCCAGCCTGGTGAGGCATGGTCAAATAACTCCCATGGCCCGCACGGCGTGGCAAGGCCCTCATCCAGCGGTGGCTTGATGAAGAGATTTGTACATTTGCGTGAACGAGTCCTGTCAGTATCTTCCCTGCTCCATTGGCAGCCCTGAACCAGTGGTGGAAAGGTTCACATTCTAGATTTGAAGCTTTCGTGACTGCAAGGATTCGTACTCTTAGGTTTTTTCGATAAAGTCACGTAGGTAAAAAAATTTAAATTAATACAAGTAAAGTAAAAATCACGACGTTTCGGAGGCAACACAAGCTTCCGTCTTCAGATGGAACCGTCGCAGCACGATTGTTGTACTTGTATCAAGTACAGCAAGCGTGCTGTGATTTTATTATATTTTTATTATATTTTTTATTTTACTTTTATTAATTTTAATTGTTTTTACCTACGTGACTTTACCGAAAAAACCTCAGAGTATAAGGTTCACATTGCTATGCCAGCAGCGAGCCCTGACCATGAAACAGCTGATAGCTCACAACGTGCTACTGATTTAATCGATGCCGGAGTGATGATGGGGCCGCGAAGATCCGCAACGATCGGGATATGTTTTTGAATTCGCTGCCTTCTAAATACAAGCCGATCTCTCTCTCTCTCTCTCCCTCCCCTGCGAACTGCAATGCAGCATGATAACTGTAATGACTTCGCCGCAAATTTCAATGAAAATACTGAACTCATATATTAACTTAAAGCTTTCGGGACTGCAGGAATTCATATTATTTGGGTCTTTCGGTGAAGTAACGTAGATAGGTTCAAAGAAAATAACAAAAAATAACAAAAAAACTACGACGTTTCGATCGCAACACAAGCGGTCGTCATCAGGAAGAAAAGAAAGCATTTGATCCGTGACTTTACCGAAAGATCCAAATAATACTGAACGCATATTAGATGGGTCGCCGCCGTGGCGAGATGTTGACTACCTCACCTGGTATACAGGAGATTGTACGTTTGATTCCGACCCTGACGCCTGCTGCATATTTTGAGTTTGCATGGCTCTCTCTCTCCGTGTTGGCGAGGTTTTTTTCCGGGTTCACCGTTTTTTCCCTCCACATTTATAAATGTGCGTTTAGATTATGTGGCTGCTATACATTTCCACGTGATAAACCACTTCGTTGAGCTATCATTTGTGGCCAGGTCGCTTCTGGAAAAGAGCTGTGCAACTCAGTTGGCCTGACCTGCAAAAATAAAAATAAATGTTTACAGCTGTAATAGGTTAGGTTAAAACAATCGTAAAGGATGTAACGTAAATTATCACGTGACAGCCAACGGTTGTACCGAGGCTTTTGCGCGAAATAAAAATTCGTGACGTTGGAACAATTTGCAACAGGAAAAACAGAAACACATTCCTCTGGCGCTGCGGCAATGAGATGTATGAAACATCTTGGAGCACGATGATGTTACAGTCAGCCATGCACCCAGCCACTGAAATCATAGCAGTGCTGTGTTTGTGCTTCATAGCACCTACGATGATGATAATGATGTCCATGACGATGATGATGTCCTGATGAACGTGTCTGTACGCGCGCGTGTGCATTGCACTCATTCCAATAGCCTGCCCATGCACAGATGAGAGAGATATATTACCTAGCTCCCGACATAACGATGCAAACACCATCGCGGTGCATACGCTTCGTCCATTCCTTACCCCCCCCCCCCTATTAACATCTGGCGCAGAACAAGGGCGCATGCGCGCGACCGGCGCCAGATCGCCCATGCAGGGAGGGGAAAATCGCCCACAAAACACGCCCTGCTCTCTTCCTCTCTCTCTCCTCCTCCTCTTCCCTGTCCGCCACTCTCTCTCTCTCTTTCTCGCTCGCCTCTCTCCCTCGCTGGCGCACGCTCCCTCTCTCTCGGGGAGCCCCCAAAAATATAAAATTCGCTCCGTGGGTTGACCACACAGCTCCGGTCCGGCACCGGAGAGTCGCAAACGTTGCTCCGGGTACGCTGCTGCTGCTGCTACGGTGGTGATCGTAGTGGTGGTGCGACGAGGGCAGCAAAGAACGAGCCGTGGTGGTCATACTTCTTGCCTCCTCCTCCTCCTCGTCCTCCTCCTCGTCCTCCTCGAGTCTGGGTACTCGCAGTGCGCAACGGGACGAGCGCCGCCGGAGCGAATTGGTCGGGTAAGAGTGGGGCGAGACGCGTCCGAGGGTGATGATGGTGGTGGTGGTGACGGTGGTGGTGGTGATGATGATTGATGATCGTGGTGATGATGATGGTGGTGGTGGTGATGACGGTGGTGGTGGTGATGATGATGATGGTGGTGGTGGTGATGATGATGGTGGTGGTGGTGATGATGGTGGTGATGATGATGCCATCGTGCCTCCGAGACGCGCGCGCATTGAGCAGCACTCATTCAACACAGGAGCCAACATTCGCGCAGGGACGTGTGTGCATGCATACACACATACATGTATAGATAAACGTGTATGTATAGATACACATATGTATACATGTGTGGACATGTATGTGTGATACTCGTATGCATATACATACATATGAGCATACACACACATACATAGATATACACATGCATACATGTATTGTTTGTGTACATATCTATAGGCAAACATGTATGATTTTACACATGTATGTGTGCGTGCATGGTTTTTCACCGCCCTCCTTCGCCTTTTTTTCTATGTTATCATATGCAAAAGGATGGAATGCACGTCCGTATCGGTACGTGTGGTTTGTGACAGTGTGGTGTCTGTGTCTGTGTGTCTATAGGTGTGTGTGTCTTTGTATGTGGGTGTGTGTGGTGCAGTGTTAAAAAATCGCCACTAGGGAGACAAATAGGGCCGGGCGTGGTGCTGGCCACCGACCCCCTCGTATGCCGTGCCAGCATTCATAGGTGCTCGCTAATAGCACTTGCCCCAACAGTCCGTTAAGGCTGCACGGGGCATCTTTGCCTTTTGTTTGATCGCTGTTAGCTCAGCGCTCTTCAGCACCCCCGGCCCTGGACAGCGCTTGCTCGAATGTTAAAGCACTCGCCATTGTTCGCAAGCAGAATACCACCGGCACCATCATCATCGCCATCACCACCATCACGATCAGCATCACCTTCTTCATCACCATCACGTGCGCCGAGATGGTGGGGATTACTCTCTGCAGGGATTACTCCGCAAAGTGATTGCTGACTCTGTTGGATTACTGGTTGATGGCGTAGCGCGCATAGCCCCTTGTTTCGTGTCGTCGTGTTATCGGTACACACAATTAAAAGCGATGTTTTGTGGCAATGACCCTTCCTCATAGCACACATTCTCTGGCACCTTTTTCAGAGCACACATTTGTTATGGTTTTTTGTTGTTGTTAATTGTGCTGGTGCACCACCGCCGTCGTAGCAGCATCACCGCCGCATGTTTAGTGTATTTGTATCACCTCGATAGACACACACACACGTACGATGTTGCAGATTCTAGCTCGCTATACGAAACAATTGTACTAATTTTTAGATCGTGCGAGATGTTGCGTCTCCTTAAGAAAGAGATCGGGAGGGAGGGAGGAATCTTGCCCCCTTTCGTGGTGGCGGTCGGATGAAGGCATTAGAGCCTTCCTATTCGGTGCGCTTGTTTGTTCGACAGCCATGCGCAATTGTAGTCACTGAGCAGCACAAAGCCATTGCCTTATCAGGCATTGGCAGGGTGGTGGTGGTCGGTGTAGGTTCCCCTCCCCCACTCCTCCACGCCCCCCCCCCCACCACTCCCCCCACCTCTTTTCTTTTCATCACGTTGAGCGCTTGTAAATAAAACCGCTGATGCGCAGAGGGCTGTCCGATGTGAATTATGAACTCGTGACAGGACAAATGTCCGCATCCCATTCTCATCCTCCACCTCATTGTGCGTGTGTTTTTTTTACGCTGCCGCCAGCTCACGAGCGGTGGACGCTTTAATTAAATTAGCCCACTGCACCTTGCCAGGGGTTTAAAATAGAAGCGTCCTTTAAACGGCAGAATTTTCCGTGAGTTGTTTCGACCGATGAAGGTCGGGTGGCCTGCATTGCACGGACGAACACAGCCCCAATTTACTCGGACGAATTTTGTCACGGAGAATGCCACTTATTGCCTACGGGGGGGGGGGGGGGAGAAAAAAAAAGAAAAACAACAACGCCTTAAAGACGAATTCATGTTCAGGACGGTCCCTGCCTCGTTGGAACATTTGGCCAATTCCATGAATGAGAGTTTTGGCTTCGCGTGTAAAGAAACCCGAAGTAACCGCGGAGAGAGAAAAACAATCCACGCGTATTGCAGGGGATAGCACTCAAATCCCGGCGCCAGACAGACGCAAATTCACCAGGCAGAGCCGACCCAATCTACACATGGACTGAGACCTTTTCCACACTGCCATCTCCTGGGCCCCTTGCAGCCCGAGGTCCCGCGACTACAACTACCTGGCTATGCGCTCCATCCAAAGCGCTCGCCACTGCAGCCAGGATCCAACCCTCCTTCTTCAGCGATCGAGATCCGGCGAGATTGGGCGTAGGGGGCGAGGGGGCGCGTGATGTGCTTATTGATTTTTTTTGTCTGCATTCTCCCATTTTGGTTCATTTATTTAGTTTGTGCCATACAAGTAGGCATACATAATTCAGACGTTCACTTTGCGCCGCGTAATCGAATGGGCGTGCCCTTGCGTGGGGGGGGGGGCAATGTCTGTCAATCTCCGAGTTAAAATTACCTAACATTTTGCATGCCTCTTCCTTGATTGTCATTAACACCATTTGTAGCGGAGATAATTATAACTGAGTTCGACACCCCCTGGCTCTGTCTCCCCCACTCCCCTCTCGCCACAGATATTTTTGGTACAGCCAATTGTATTTTCCCCTTCTTGCCGCGTGCGTCTCGTGCGAGCGTTATTAGTATGCGATTCTTACCCCCACCCCCATCCCCTACGATATTTGTTCAAAATTTAAGCAGGAACCACTGGAAAAACATTACGCTGAGTGCGTTCAAAAGGAACGCATTGCATTCAGAAAGCAATCAGATCCCTTAGCCAGCTCATTACAGAAAATACTTCTGTAAGACACATTTGCTGATGGTTTGGGGGGGGGGGGCAATGACTATAATGTTTTTTTTTATAATATATTTTTTAATTTTTTTATTTTACTTTTATTAATTTTATTTTTTTTACCTACGTGACTTTACCGAAAAAACCTAAGAATATGATTATAATGCGTTTGACTATGATGACCTTTTAATAAGAGCTCACAACTGGGGTTCCATTTGATTGTTCAGAGCACCCCACGAATAACAAATTAGTGTTTGTCTCCACCACCACCACCACCACCCACCACCAACCACCACCACCACCAACCACCACCAACCACCACCACCACCAACCACCACCACCAACCACCACCAACCACCACCCACCACCAACCACCACCACCACCAACCACCATCACCACCACCAACCACGTCTCGATGTAATTTCTCCCAGCTCTCACTTCCAGCATTCGATGCCCTTGTTCAGTATTCAAGTTCTGCGCCACGGTGTGTAAATCCAATTTGAGCTCGTCAGTGATTTTCTGATATTTCTAATAATGAATGCTCCGTTTGCTGCGAAACTATCATCATCATCAGCCATGATCAATTCATCATCAGCAGCAGCAGCCGTGGGCAATCGATTATGATCACTATCATCAGCAGCCACAACCACGTTCAATCCACTGTTTTACTTTAAAATGAATTGTAAATGCATTATTTTTACCGTTAGAACGATACAACGAAGCTTCCAGAAGCGTGACTTTGCATTGCACGCAAAGTCAATTGATATGTATTTGTATTTTACATTAAACATTTAGCTTCTCTCTATTTTCTGGAAGAAATAAAGACAACCACGTGTGTATGTGCGTGCGTGTGTACGTATTACGTACATCGCTGAGCTGCGTTTCTCGTTTCAAAAGTGAGTGCACGGTCTTTGGCAACAGTGGGCTCGGGTTTTTGTTCTCAAAAATAATTTCCTTTTCCAAATCACATGGCGTGTTTACCTGGGCAATGGATTGTTATCGTCCCTTTGTGTTGTGCAGCTTGCCTGTCCACTCGTCGAATCACAGCAATAATTGTAATAACGCGTTACATAACAGTGCCGCATACATCTTTTTTTCTTCATTTTCTCGAAGAAAACACCCAAAAAAAACACACGGCACACATCTTAAAAACGAAACGTCTCGTGCATTTTTGCGCAGATTTTGTATGTGTAGAATTTTTTTTTAATAAACAGCGAGGGCTGCGAAAAATATTGCAGCTCTCGCAGCATGAGAGGGAGGCATAGCGCGCGCTGCGTCCGCTTTGTGGGATCTGCGGGGACTGTGCGCGCACGCGCGTGTGTGTGGGGAGCGGTGGTGCAGCGGTTAGCGCGCCACACTCCGAATCTGGTGACCCGAGTTCGATTCCCGCTCGCGGCAAACATCAGTGACGATTATTTGAACCGGTCCTGGGCCTCCCATAGGTCGCCTCAAATGAGTACTCGGTACGGTGTGTAAACATCACCACTGGGGAGACAAAGGCGGCCGGGCGTGGTATTGGCCACCTCACCCCCTCGTGTGCCGTGCCGGCCTTTATAGGTGCTCGCTAACAGCACCTGCCCTGACAGTTTGTTGCAGGCTATACGGGGGATCTTTGTCTTTGTGCATGTTGAACTTCTTTCGCACCGTACATAGCCAACCGCGCCAATCGCAGGTGCCATTCGGAAGCAACATAAATTAAGTCCTCTGCTCCTTGGTGCTTACATGGTCAGAGGACTAGTTGTGTAAGGCGGTTAAACGCTGCTTACATTTGCTTCCATGCAGCTGCGAGAGGGCACGTGTCCTAAATGGCAACGCAGTGCGCTAATGAATCACGTCTCCACCACCACCACCACCCCTACCACCACCACCACCCCTACCACCACCACCCCTACCACCACCACCACCCCTACCACCACCACCACCACCCCTACCACCACCACCACCCCTACCACCACCACCCCTACCACCACCACCCCTACCACCACCACCACCCCTACCACCACCACCCCTACCACCCCTACCACCACCACCCCTACCACCCCTACCACCACCACCACCCCTACCACCCCTACCACCCCTACCACCACCACCCCTACCACCACCACCACCCCTACCACCACCA